TATTTTTGTAATTACACTCTTTTGAAGTTTCGCCTGATCGATGAAAAAATGCTTTCCATCAAACTTACAGAGAAGCTGAAGGACCAGAAAAAAAATGCAAAAAGAACCATGTAGGTTTCAACTAAAATAACTATTCGATAAAGCCTGCAGCTGATTTTGTGCTGAAACCTAAGGAGGCTGAGCCGGACGCACCTCCATCCGAAGACTCCTGCGACGATCGGAAAATTCTATATAAAGAGAGAAGCGTGTGGACGGAGCAATTACATGATGCATTTGAGCGAGGTCTAATTATTCCTAATCTGCAACTGACCGACATAAATAATACCTTTATGCCACCTGAAAATACTGGGTTCTGGGAAGACTTCACCCCAATGTTTCTTGAACAAGCTCGGCTATATGTGCTGACCGACACCTATTGCATAAACTTATTGTGCCAGCTTGTACTCTCTAAATTGTATCAAACGTTTAAAAACTTCAAACTTTATAAAACAAGTTTGAATAGCATCATTGAATTTGTTCGATTTGTCTACATGGAAGGACCACCAAATCATGGTAACAAAATTGATAGCATGAGGAATCTTGCAACATGTTATGTTGTTTCTGTTCTTGGTCAGATTGGCGAAAATAAATCTTTTCGAGAAGTTTTAGCAGGAGGCGGTCCTTTCGTAGATGATTTTTGACATATCATTTAGGGCATTGGAAAAAAGTCAAGCGCATGAAATAGATAGCTGTTCTCGGGTTTTGCTTGTCTGCCACGGTTGTTCAAAATCGATTCGAGTTCAATTACTCCATGTAAAATCGTGTTCCTTTTAATTAGATCAAAGCATGTTGCCCACTTTTTGCTGCTGAAGTCGGATTGGCTGATGGCCCTAGATTGTCATAACGATTGACGAAGTCCTCCCATATATAAGTGGAATATCTGATATTAGACCTTCAACACATTCAAAATGTGTGGTTCTTTATTCTACAAGAGGCCAACATATATAGATATTTGCCGGTCTATCAAAATCCTGAAGAATTTCGAAAGTAAAAGCTCTATGGACGAGGCTGAACATCTGTCATCATCAAGAACATCGAGAAAGCGCCTACATTGCCGACTGGTAAGTATATCAGCAAAAAACCACTGGAATATTTTTACCTTGTCAACATCTGTAATCTGTTCGCTTACAATGCCATAGAATCGAACGCTGTGGAATAAGAGGAGTGAGTAAAGGTGGCTGATGTGGTGACCCATCTGTTTACTTGGCTAACTCGTCGTTTTGACGATGGGAGGGGACCGACCGTCGGTGTTGCTTAGTCAAGATTACAGGTTGAATACAAAAGCTGTTATAATTGTGATTTACAATTGTACAGGATTCCTGCCAAAGACAGGAGCTCAGGGGAAGAGTAACTACAATAGGTATGGTGTGTTTTGACGAAAAAAGGTTTGAGAAACAATCTCTATGCATAAGTGGTGAAAATAATTTCGATCCATCCTGTGACTCAATTTATTCATAGCACTTAAATAACTTATTGTATACGAAGGTTCGAATCTTTGGGCATTGCTTCTCTATCAACTAGATTGAAGCTCTGCTAGCCTTGTTGGTCCGTCTCACAGTACCCGCTGGCATGCTCGGTGAGGCATGGGTCGCAGGTGTCGCATCCAGTACTATCAAACTTCTTTCTGGGCAATACATCTCTTGTATTACATCTCTTCTTCCAATTTCTCATATGTATCAACACCCATGATAGGTTACCACCACATTGCCGGTCTCAAGCATCCCTGCTGAAGCCGCCGTCCAAGCATGGCCTGTGCTCACTTGAGAAGAGGTTAAAATGGGCTGTTGGCTGCCTTGGACTTCTTTGATGTTTGCGACTTGGGGTGGTGATCAAGCAGCAGCATGGTGCTGGATGCATCTTGCACACAATACATAGATCGAAGAGAGCTCTTATTAATTATTACGTCGAATAAAATCAAACAAGTTATAAAATAAAGCCTTAACTGAATAAACTCGGACTATTTATTTCCTTATCTTATTACAATCCCTTTAGGTTCCCTTCCCAAATGCGAATTACGGGGAATAACTGTAATTCTTGTTTTATATCTTTTAGTTATCACTTTGTCGCATTCTCAATTAGTATATTTAGAAGTAAATATATAATAGCAGATATAGGCGGTATACTTTTGGTGTAAGGAAATTGACTATACACTTTTCCTAACTTTGATAAGTCTCTCTAAACACATCTGCTTTTCTTATCTCATATATACATAAGATAACAAAATAGAAGATTGCAGTCTTAGAAAATTATACTTAATTAAATAATTTACTAACTTACATTAACTCAACCAATATTTCATTCGTTGTAGCGTATATAAGGCCCGCATATTTGTAAGTAAAATTGAAGATTAAGATTTGATGCATAGCTAACACTGTTATTGCTACTGACTATTTTAATCTTAAGGCCAAATAAGGCCGAGAGAAGTGGATTGGATATTAATTTCGTTGAGAGGTAGGAATAAGATGTTTTGGAATATACATATTCTGTCCGTCATAAGGAAGCAATAAGAAATCTAATAAACAATTTATTTAAAAACTGTTAAATTGATACTACAAATCTTGATTTTCCAATGATATTTTCGACTAGTAAACTTTTAGATGGTATAGTACCTTAACTTTTGATCTATTTAGAGTTTATAACTTTCCTCTTTCTTTATCTTGGATATCCAACTGAATCTTCAACTAAAGAGTATTCAACTAAAAAGTGTTCAACTGAAGAATGATTGATTGAGAAAATAGTTAATTAAGGAAATAGTTGATTCAGAGAGTGGTTGATTAAAGGAGTGGTTGATTGAAGGAATGGTTGATTGAGGAAGTGGTTAATTAGAAAATAGAAAATAACCATGACTGGACTATACTGCCTGCTGCACTTCTCACTTGAAAGAAGATATAAAAGGCTCTTTCTATATATAATATATATTCTAGACCATAATTTATTCTATTTATATTATATCATTCACTCAAACATAAAAAGCATACGCTTCAAAGTACTTTTCGTCCTTGGAATAGCCACGTCGGCGTCTGCTCTGTGGTCAGTTATCTACTATACTACAAGCAATTATTTAGATACAGGAAAACTTTATAAGAGATTGAAGGTTTCGAAGCTAGGTGTTAGATTCTGAAAACCAGTACGAAATCAATAATAGTCTCTACCGACAGTGGCAACAACATCACTTTGAATACAGATATCAACTGCAATTCTCCTTACAAAAATCCAATTCCAAACGAAGTAACCAGCCGCTGTATTAATACCACTATCCGTTCCTTCTTATCTTATTATTTATAAATAATTTTCTTTATTCGTTTTGTTCTCAATTTACAAACTAGCATATTGAAGGGGTAGATAATGTTTAAATATGGGGTTAAGAAGAGTTTCTAGAATGTTTTTGTTATTTATAGTATATATGCGGTAAACTTTGATTATCAAGATTCCATTCTTTTGTTTTCAATCATTTTGACGAGATCTTTGTAGTTATTTCTACCGAAGAAGTTAAGCAGATAATTATTCGAAAACAGCCTAAAGAAGTCCAATCCTTTATCGAATAGTTCGATTATATATGATCAAAAGTTCGCCATTAAGGTAATCGTATTTTTGAAATCTATATATCTTTTTCATTTTTTTATCTATTTTTTATAGATCTATCTGTCTATGAATGTTTTTTTGAGAAGGAAGATTATTCACTGAGCGATGTGGAGTAAGAAGTAAATGACTAATTCGGATATGAATTGCAAGTGAACGAAATCTATAAAGATAGTTCAAGATCGGAGTATTGCAGTTGCATCGTCTATGGTGTTGGGGTTCGAACAGATGCTAGATATGTTCGATTAGTTGCTAAAATAATAAAAGCGAAAGTAGATATTGTCTGCAACAACAAGTAGGATTGAAATTATCGCAAATTTCTATCGATTGTTTGGTAAAGATTTCTAGCAAATCTATAGCGACTACTTCAATATTGTTTAGATTTAATTTAGTAAGGAATTTCAACGTTCGGTCTTTTGTTATGTAACGGCTCCACAGGAATGAATGTATATAATCGATTAAATAGCAACCGTCGAATACTAAATGAATCAACGGTACCAACAGAAGTATTGCAAGTACTATATAATCTTGCAGTACCGCAACGAGAACGGTACCGGAATTTGGTAAAATCCCGCGATACCTGCGGTACCGAGCAGCGGTACCAAAAATTCCCAGGTACCGCGGTACTTGTCCAGGCCTACTCATAATCTATTAAAAGAGAAAAGAGACTGAACCGAGAATTGGTTGCAAGAAAGACAGAGAGAGGGAAAAGAAAGAAAACCTATAGAAGGAGGGTTTATCTACATCAAACGAGGGTTGGGACGAACACCCATCACAACAGATTTGATGAACTATCACTTCTGCTGCGAGTATTGAGTGGTATCTAGGAAGAGCTAGGCCGCGATGAGGATCCTGAATGCCTGGAAAACCTCATTGATGAGTCTGCTTTGGATGATGTGTCCACCGAGGAAATTGTAACGCTACTAAATTCCTCTGAAACTTTGGCAGAAATTTTGGAAAGGACATCTGTAGTTGTGCGATGTTAGGGAGGATCGACTCGATTTGCACATTACATATATTTTCATCTACTACCTCTATTCAACATTCTGTAAATATTTTCCATGGGTAGAACTAAGGGAAGTCAAGCAAAACGAGGCTTCAGATGAATAAAAGAGCCGTTCGCAGGACAGAAGCAAAATGACACATCTTTGAGCATTGATGATAGTTCTGTCTGCTTACAGGTATCCCAAGATACCATACGTAGGGGAAAATTCTTGATCAGGGCGGATCATACACTCGCTCACTGAGCATGTTTGTGGTTTATCTTTCCTAAATCTCTGCAAATACCTGGCTATTGGATTTTGCGCGTAATTTGGATAAGGTGTGAGGACATTTGACGCTGAGATTTAGGCTTCCCGCCATATCTAATATATTCAAGGTATTCAAGAAGACAAAACGCTTTTGCCACCATCTTTTGTCAGTCGGTCTCTAATCTTGATTACCATATACCCCGAACCCAGATTCTTAAGCTCCTGCGAGCCTCCTGAAGCAGTGCAAGAAACGGCACTCGGCGAAAAGAGTAAAGCCTCGCCCACTTTGAGATGAACAATTCTATGAAACAAAGAAAACTTTGCAGCAAACTCAGTGTTTTCCGGGTGGCCATCGTTGTAGGCCGACAATTCTCGATGTGACTTGGCATCCAAAGCGGCTCCGGCCACATGGCCCTGTAGTGCGCGTATCCACGCAGGGGACGAAAACCTATGGACAATAGTGATGGAGCATAAGCTGAGAAGGTCGGTCGAAATCGTTGGCTCTTGGGTAGAAATCAAGATACGGGCCCCCAGGTGGCGCTGTAAGCGAACAGTGGAGAGAATGGTGTCTGTAAAGCTTCGAGCTTCGACCGAGTCTTTCATGTACTAGAACCTGTCAGAAATGATAGATTGGATCAGTGCTTGTAGACCGCACACCTTGTGAGCCTCGTCAAGGGCCAGTATTCTACCGATTTTGGTATCCTGCTCCATAAAAATACTAAAGCAAACATTAAAGAGCGAGCAAGCGACATCGTGGGAGATACAAGGACAAGAGAGGTCAACAATTGTCAATTGTGAGGCCTATGTTCATTAGTCCTTGCAAGCAAAAGTCAGGATTTATCTTGTCCATGTTACCTTCGGTGTCCAGTCAGACCCTAATCCTAGAGGGTTCGCCTGCTTTACCTTCCCTTTCTTATGGACAGCTGCCTGCTGCGGGGGCATGAAACTCTCAAGCGTATCTAGTCGCTGCTTCAAAGGCTCGAGCTGACCCGGAAGGAGGCCAGAAGTGAGGATTCTTTTCTTGAAATCCTTGTACTCAAATTGGGATCCTGCCTTTTGTTGTAAAAGGCGCATTTCCCGCAAAATTCGTTTGACTGTATGCATGTATAAAGGCACGGGCCCAGAGTCTTGACCAACTGCCATAAGATCCAGCATACGCTGAGTGCTCAAATTCGCTTGGTCTATCTGCAAAGGCTCAACCTTGATGTCGAATCTCGAATAGGTTTTCTATGGGCCTGTTAGGGAGGTGAAGAGAATCAGACTTATTCCGCGTTACCTTCATGGTGAGAAAGTTTGTGGGAGCACAAAGCACCCTTAATTTGATCTTCGAGTGGGATGCGAGAAATGCGGCCTCACAGGGTGAGCCACAGTTGTCGGAATTGAAATTATCGTAGTGAAAAGCAACAGCAGACAGCGGGTTTGCAAGTCTGCCGGCTTTAGAAGATATCAAGCACCCTTCCAGTACGCAAGAGAGTGTATGACTTTTTCCAGAGCCTTGAGAGCCGCAAATGAAAATGCTAGATGGCGAGGAAACGTTGAAAAACAGCCTCGGGTCTTTTTTAATCATCTCATTCTCCGTGTTTGCATGACTGGACGTCTCAATACTTTTAACCCCTCCCAGCAGACCATACTGCGGTGGAGCTAGTTTAGGCTGTTCCAAAACAGAACCTGTGAAAATGGGGGCAAGAAAGGCTTGCTCTTTCTGCTCATTGGGGCTGTCAAATTTCAACAAGCTCAGATGATATTCAAGTCTTGGATCTTTAAGCGTAAAAATCAGCTCCATTAAAGATAAGAAGACAAAGCATATTCAGGACAGCATGAGGTAATTTGAGCCTGTATTGACGTACCTGCTTGGTGCTGTTCTTGCTTTGATGTAGACATATTCAGATTGCACTTTGTGAAAACCTTCCAATATCCCTGGTTTCCAGCTCTTCTTGTATCAGAAATTTGTGTATCGATCCACGTCATTCCCTTCTTTATGTGTAGGTGTATGCAGGTGTCGAATATTTGGCCAAGTGCAGATTATGCGCTTTTCTAATCGCGATATCCTGAAAAAGTTGATAAAGAACGACCAATGAAGCGAGGCATGTGAATGCGAAGCGCACCTGAAGTGGTGGGGCTGTTGAACTTCCAACAGGTCAAGAAGTTGGGCCAATTTCAAGAGCCCGAACCATCCTGTAAGGGCTACCTACTCTAGTAAAATTAGCCTCCCGCATTGGCAGCCTCCCGCATTGGCAGCCTCCCGCATTGGCAGCCTCCCGCATTGGCAGCCTCCCGCATTGGCAGCCTCCCGCATTGGCAGCCTCCCGCATTGGCAGCCTCCCGCATTGGCAGCCTCCCGCATTGGCAGCCTCCCGCAGTTTCTCCGCAATGGTTTATTTCCCTTAAAATTTCCAAGCGTGACATTAACGCCGGCTCTGTACCCAGGTGTCATAAAAAAGTCTTCTTGGATCCCTCTAATCATTGATCGAACAAACATTGAGACCTGGAAATCGCACCATGAAAAAGAAAGATGAGTTTGAGATTGAACCCATTGGTGTTGGCCCACCAAGGTTTGACCCATATCAAAGACTTCTGGCCCGATTCTACGAGCCATTATTTCTTTTGAGGGCACTTGGACAAACGCGAGGCGGACATACACCCCGGCCCTTGAGCCTCAATGCTCTCATGGAAAGGAGACGAAGATTTCTGCAGAACCTTGCCTATGTGTGTGACTTCGAAAAAGGAGGGGATTCTTGTACCGCAATAGGCTTGGAAAGTCGCCAAAGTTGCTACCTGTTCTGGGTTGCTTCGAACAGCATGATCGAAAAGATAGTTTCCTTTCTCAACACGGCACTCAATATCTTGATGAGCGCGAACAGCCAGCCTGTCTCTGATCTGGCAGCCACAGAGTCTGCATTCATTCAGCTTTGCGTGGACTTTGCAACTTCTCGCATCGACCTGGAGCGCAAAAATCTTGAAAGGGAGGCGAAGAACTGCATTTTAAGTCTCACAGAAACGACCTCAAAAACTGGTGAGCATATAAAATTTTGAACTTTCTGTTTGATCTGGAACTGAGAAGCCTCTAGCCCAGCAATTGGTCAAATGGCTACGCATGATCATTGATCTCAGTGACAACATCGAGCTTTGCCACCTCGCTTATAAGAGTCGCAATTCGGTCTATATCGACCAGATTACAGAAATGGGCTTACAAGAAGAGAACGAACTAGACCCTGCAGGCAGGCGCTCATGTTTTTGCCTAACCAGACATCACTTTTTGGCACTTGCCCATCACATACGGGCACCAAAAAAGCTTTTTGACGACTCCCTTCATTTGGGACACATATTGCAAACATATGAAGTTTGTGGCATTGATCCATTTCCAAGTGTACCAGGACCAGTGCGCGATTCTCATACAAACCTCCGCGGAGTTCTGAATCGTATGTACAAAACGCCTGGAGAGGAAAAGGACTCTGTCAGGGAAGGTCTCCTCTACTTGAACAGAATTTCATCTTCTCGAATCTTTGATAGTTTTGTGGAACAATACGACCATGACTATCCTCAGGTTCATGCTGAAGTTCAGGTTTTAGAGCATTTTCACCAGAAAAGGCTCTCATTTGCACATAACGATCGATTTGTTGCCTGCAGCAAGCCTGCATGCCTTTGCTGTGAGCTTTATTTCAAGCATCATCCAGCACGCATGGTGTTGCCACCATCCCACCGGAAAGTCTGGACAAGATGGAGCCCTCCAGCCGTAAAGGCATTTAACAAGGGCGACGCGGCAACTCGAGAGCAAATCCAGATTATGAGCAAAATCACGCAAGACCTCCGGGATCAGATCATTGACCAAGTTTTGCAGCGCTCACAAGCAAGTCGCTGGCATGCAGACTCGATAACTTACATCACGGAGACAGTCTCCGGAGGGAGGATTAAGTTACTTGATGAGCAACACATTTCCGAGAATTCTTGCGGCAAATCTGTTGCAAATTCATCGAATAGTCCAGAAACCGGAGAGCAAGGTGGGCTAGATCAGGAACTTGATTCGGACGATGGCGGCGTGTCTATTGACCTTTAATTTCTGAATTCATTTACAACGTCCCCCATGGGTATCAATTAGTGATGCTCAATCTTGTATTAAGTCTCTAAATTCATGAGGACATTCAAAATTGTGCTTTTCTATCTTCTCAAATCAACTGTATGCTTCTTTTTGCGGTGTCTTTGGAGGTTATCCTTGCGTGTGAATGAGATATCGCATACATGACAAGAGAATCGTTCTTCCACATTCCAGCGTTGCTTAGCCCACATGTTATGAGCACATTTGACGTGTCGGCGCATGTCTCCTTGTTGTGCAGCAGCGTAATGACACACAGGACATTTGATTGGTTTCTCATGCTGTCGTAAGTGTTTCCTGAAACAAATGAGAGAAAATCCTTGTGTAGGATGAAAGCCTTACCGAAAGAATCCCTTCTGCTGAAAACCCCCCCGATCGCGACATGTCTCCCACTGGCAGTAATACAGCCCGTCCGAAGCAACATCCATCATACTGATTGAAGGCATTTCTGCTTCTTCAAATTTCCATTCCGATTTTGAAATACTTGTGAGAGAGCCCGAGTCTTGTTTGCTTTTTTCAGCAAATGAGCCCAGAGCCTCTGAAGCGACCATCGGATAGGCACACATTTCACCTTCATCAATCGGAATTGAGCTCGACCCAGCACTCTATAGAGACTGGTCATTGTCAAGCAAGTCCCGATCGGAAACAGGCTCAAGGTCTGCTGTGTATGAGCTGACATACTCGTCAAAGCTGGCAGATTCCATTGGGTATTGATGAGCTCCAGGTAACGGGATGATACTGTCGTCTTCGCTGTTGCAAAAGAGTAACATCTCAGGTTCCATTTCCAGGGCCGAGTTATTATCCGTAGTAGAAGTCGTAAAGTCGAAAGAAAAATCTCGAGGTGCTCCCAACATCCAATCTCCACTTTCGCTTTGACCAAAGAATCGGGGTTCCATGGCCGGCTAAATTGGGTTGGAGTAATGCCCTTCGGACAATTCTGGGGGGTACCAGCGAGTATATATATATGAACCTTGGAAGCATTCTACATGAGATTTTATGATACCTCTACGGGGGATGACGACGACCCGGAATGGATGGAGGGTCACATATGACCCAATGAGCTGCGAATACTCGATGTTCACCGCCAGTCATGACCATGTAGCTGCTGACAGCGCATTCAGCCAAACCAACACCATGCAGCCGAAGGGGTCTGATCGATTGACGAGGATCATAGTAGTACCTACGAAGAGATCCGATAGCCTACATCTAAGGAGATAATAGAAAGTACGCACAGAGTTAAACCTCGGAAGTCTGGATTATCATTTAAGTCTACACTTCCAAGGGTGCAGTCTCGCTCTCGCTGTTTCCCAAGCCCCTTTGCATGCCGCTAGCCCGATTGGGGGACGGTCAGTTGGAAATACCTACTGCCCCCGAATTTTACATTACCGCTTCGTATCAATACACAGGATACCTTGCTTTACTATGTAGACCCCATACAGACCCAGGTCGCCCCTGTAATTTTACAATACCATCTACCCATCTTACCTAGTCAGATTGACGATCCAGACGTCATACCATACCGTACGATTAGTTAGTCAACATGCCGCCGAGTCAGCCAATCAACATCGCAGGATCTTTGCTGCCAAAATCCCCGCTGCCGTCGAGTCTCCACGATCTTGAAAACCAGCCTCTTCGATTCTTTATTATGTAACGATGAGGTGGTGGTGCCAGTGAGGTGAATGTACGATTACATAGTCCGAGATAGAAAGGAGATGTCAGTTTATAAACCTTGCAGAATTACATTGTTCAGTATGAGGATCCGAATGGTGTATTTTCTGTAAAATCCGGTCGTGAGACTGTTCTGCCAGCAAAATATATATTTAACGCCGGAATTTCTGCCCGACCGCCCCCCAGTAGGGTTAGTGGCATGCAAAGGGGTGTGGTAACAAGTACTTGGAGTGTGGAAGGAATAGGACCCTCTAAATCGGCCACTTTCTTCCCTCCCAGCTCTCCATAAACCAAAAAACATCTCTTGTTTTCCAGTTGTATCGGTATGGTTCACGGATTTAAGATGACCTACTGCCCACCTCCTCTCGTTTCAGGCCCATTGATCTGCTTGTCGGCTTGTTAGCCTTTCCAAGTCCTAGTGCGGACTTGAAGGGTGGGTTCGAAGCCCGACTCTTATACCGCTTCCTATTTACCAACCCCCGCATCCATGGAAGCCAATTTCGTATGACGCAGTAAGCGAACTTCGAATAATATATTCTGTATTGTATTAACTTGTATGTTTACCAGTCGTAGCAAATTGACATTCGCCGGTCAAAGCCTGGCGGTGGCGGGCGCCGACTATGAATTTTAAGAACATCCGGACATTGATCGACTAAAGGGACCGTAATTGCTAGAGACTGACAGGTCCAATATCATGACTGCACAATGATGATTGATCTAGGCATCTCGAGGAGCCCCTGGCAAAATTAGAAAATTTACTAGATTAGCGAACTACTTAAGTACCACTTGGAAACTACTAGTCTCTTTGCCTATAGGGCTAGGAACGGGCACCTGATGATCTTCTTATTAGATTATATATATTGCAACCTCAATCCCTCAATCAGACCTTAGGAAAAAGACATTAGTCCCATAGATGTCTGTTAGCACAAAAATACCTACCTAGGGCTGGTATTTGAGACCGAGGCCATGTCCCTGACTAGGTATTTCCTAAGTTCTCTTCATCGGTGTAAAAAGCTAGTTTCACCCTCGGTTTGAGCCACTCTTTTGACCTTCCTCGTCACATCAAGTGTCATTCGATCAGGATGACTATAATGTCCTTTCGCATCCGAAAATAGCTTAGTTGCAATTATTCAATCATATCAAAGTCGGCGTAAATGATAGTCTCCATTTCATCATCAAATAGCTCTATCAACCATCTTCCATCGGGTCCAAAGTATGTACTTGAGCAGAGCTACCTCCTGGAGACGACATCAAGGCCCCTCCCGCAATTCCAATTCTCTCCATTACCTCGGTGAAGTCAGCACAGAAGTAACTAGACCAAGTCGTCGGGCTTCAGGCGTTTTTGCGAAAGAGTCGAAATTGATCATCACTAAATGTCGACTACATTCATGCATCAAACCCTGTATCTCCTTTAGGTCCGCTGCATCATAGTTGGATCTATCAACCGCACAGGGATGGGGCTTGTTTCGAAGTATATGAAATCCTCTCTATCTTGACATAGGCTCTGAATGTGGCAATCTATGGGTTTTTGTAGACCGGGATGGAAGGCGGACTAAATGTGTGAATCAAGAAGAGTCAACAACACTGTAGGTTTTTACAACTGACTAGAGCATTCCTGAGAAAAGTTTAGTCTTCTGAATTTGTCGTAGGTAGTGAATAGTCTTAGACGCTACTACGTAAATGAGAAAATACTAGGATAATCCTAAACAAAGGCCCTATAAGCTATCTATCACTCTAGCTTGAATCAATGTGCAAGAAAATATCACCTTGTCCTCCGTTCCTATCTCTGTCACCCCAGTCTCGAGAATTCACCCATCTCACACACACTCACCCTCAGACAAGTTTCTTTGCCATTTTAAGTCTCAGCGTGCCTCGAAGATTGGCCGCATGGAGTAAGGGGTTGAAGTACAGCTGAGCGGACGGGAAGCCCTGTTTTCCACACCCTGTGGTTTTATTGACTTGGGTATCATTTACAATGTTACATATCTCCTTTTTCGTTCAGTTCTTCGGTACACATATAAAGCTCTTATCCTCAGGCATCAATTGACCCTTAAGACCCTGATCGCTATTCCTGAAGCCACTTGTTGCCTAGCCCAAAAATACATCCATTGTTGAGGCTATGTCGATATCCTTCTCTATTGGCGAGAGGAATTAATATGAGGAAAAAACCCACTTGGAACTATCCCAAAATTGGAAAACAGTACAAAATCCACGGTGGTGCATCGGACCCTTTGTAATGAGCAGGCTAGTCCCAATTGGAAAACAGGGGTCAGTTCTAGTTCTAGGCGGAATCGGGCAGGGAGCCCTTACTGCCGCGGAGTTCTCGGGGTGCAGTCAAGCTGATGGGATCACCGAGGGACATTTGCTACACACCCTTGGTCCGTGCGGTATTGACCAGATTGCTCATGCAGCTTGACGAAGGGGAGAATCCCGCTCTCGTGTATATATAGAAGATGCTTCTGCAGGGGATCTAGTTCTTCATACTACTTCTTCTCGTCGATTAGGACTCAATTCATCATTGACTTTGCCTGTGCATCACACCCTTGTCAAATTGATTGAATCCTGACCAACGGGTGTTCTCGGGCGGAGTAAATGTGGGTTTTACATGGAAATCAACATCTGCACGTTGGAAGGTGGCAGTGCTCGTATTGAACCCTGCAGGCCCGGAACTCCATGGATACCTCAGCCCACGCTCAAGTCAACTCTGAACAAATCCTGCACACTCCTCCGTCAATGCTCTCAATTACTGGATGGGTTTGATCACAATTCTTTTCTATACATCGGGAGGTTCCACGGCAAGAAAAAGAAAACGTGATTAAAAATTCATTCCAATGTTTTGATGAGAGAGAAGAAAAAGAGAGGGCCAGCTATCTTGGGGCTGAGAGAACCCCACCGCTCAATGATTAGTCTCTCACTAATCCTGCATTTACTTTTCGTTTGGTAGACTTCGAATCTAGAGTGAGGTTTGAAAAATTGAACAACATGCCAACGTGAAGTGGGAAGAATCCTTTGGTGCCACCTATGCTGTCCAACAACAATAGCTCGTGTGCATTTTGAACCCTGAAGGCCATTTCCCCACTTATGCCAAGGTGCCAAGAGCATCTAGCCCCTCTACTGCCTCTGCTGGCTGGTCAATCCAGCTTGTCTCGGTGCCATTTCCCTCAGCCATGCAGGGGTTCTTTCGCCCCGGTCTCCGCCCCGGCCCGGGGTCTAACCTTCAACCCCATATTCTTGTTTTTTTTGCTCTTTTTGTTACGTATAGTGCGTTGTTATCTATATTGAATATGATCGCCATG